ATGTGTTACCCTATCTGTTATCTCTGACTTCTCTTAGCATCTTGATTCTGTTAAGTCAGGCAAAACCAGGTTATACTAGAAACTGTCTTCTATAGGGTTATTCTTTTGAGTGTTCTTTCTTGCAGATTAAATCTTTTTTAATCTTGCAGATTAAAAATAATGTGTATATTTAACTACCGTTCAGTAAAAGGGATGTCTTCATGATCTTTTTGTAAATTTTTTTCCTAGTCAAATGCACCTTGTATTGTTTTCATTGATGAAATTGATGCTATTACGCCCAAAAGAGAAGTTGCTTCAAAAGATATGGAACGAAGAATTGTAGCCCAGCTTCTAACCTGCATGGATGGTCAGTTTAAAATAATGAGTTCATTTTGAGATGATAGATATACTTTTAAAAATAATTTAAAACATGAAGATATAAAAATTTCAACAGTAAATCTCAAATAGCACAATATTTTTATGTAAAATTACATCATTTAATTTTTAGAGGATTTGATAAGATATTTTTAATACATATACATTTGGATTAACATTGTCTGGCTTTGTACACTACTGGGATTGCACCATATCCATTATTTTATAAGTTGTTATTTGTATTTCAATCATATATTGTGGAAATGTTGCCATTTAATGTACTTATATTTATCTCTTCTAAATTGCTGTATTCTTTTTTGTTTTTTGTTTTTTGTTTTTTGTTTTTTTTCAAAGGAATTGGGAGCTAGAACTAGGAATCAAAGCCAGGCACTCATATGGGACATAGGTGTCTTAACTATTAGTCTAAATTCCTACCCCAGGAATATCTTTTAAATAGACCATTTAAAAAATATTTATTTATTTGAAATACAGAGAACTAGTGTAGGGCAAAGGGAGAGCTCTTCCACCAAGTAATTCACTGCCCACTTGGCCCCAACAGCTAGAGCTGGGGCAGGCTGATCAGAAGTCAAGAACTTTATTCTGGTCCCCCACATGGGTGGCAGGTCTTGAGTACTGTGGTCATCTTCTACTGCCTTCCCAGGAAAGGGACCTGAATTGGAAGCAGAGTTGTCAGGGTTAAAACCAGCACTCCTGTTGGGTTGCTAGTGCCACAAGCAGCAGTTTAACCCACTGTGCCACAAACCTGCCTCTAAATGTTAGTGTTATAAATACATTGCATCAAAACGTGTAATCCTTTCTCTCCAACCATTGAGTGATTTGTGGAAGCATCACTGCCCTCAGTGTCACGTGACTTGCTCATCGCAGTGTGTGTTTGGTTCTTCTAGATCTGAATAACATGCCTGCAACAGCTCAGGTCCTAGTAATCGGAGCTACTAATCGGCCAGACTCGTTAGACCCTGCTTTGAGACGGGCAGGAAGATTTGACCGAGAAATATGCCTGGGAATCCCAGATGAAGCATCCAGAGAAAGGTATGTTCTTTTTTTTTTTTTTCCTGTTTCAATTAATTTTTTTTTAATAGAAACCTTTTATTCAATAAATATAAATTTCGAAAGTACCACTTTTGGATTATAGTGGTTCTTCCCCCCATAACCTCCCTCCCACCCACAAACATCTGATTTCCTACTTCCTCTCCCATCCCATTCTCCATTAAGATTCATTTTTAATTACCTTTATATACAGAAGATCAACTCTATATTAAATAAAGATTTTTTTTTTTTTTTTAATTTTTGATAGGCAGAGTGGACAGTGAGAGAGACAGACAGAGAGAGAAAGGTCTTCCTTTGCCGTTGGTTCACCCTCCAATGGCCGCCGCTGCAGCCGGCGCACCGTGCTGATCCGATGGCAGGAGCCAGGAGCCAGGTGCTTTTCCTGGTCTCCCATGGGGTGCAGGGCCCAAGCACCTGGGCCATCCTCCACTGCACTCCCTGGCCATAGCAGAGAGCTGGCCTGGAAGAGGGGCAACCGGGACAGAATCCGGCGCCCCGACCGGGACTAGAACCCCGTGTGCCGGCGCCGCAAGGTGGAGGATTAGCCTATTGAGCCACGGCGCCGGCTCAAAATAAAGATTTTAACACACAAAGTATAAAGTACCGTTTGAAGACTAGTTTTACCGTTAATTCTCATAATACAGCACATTAAGGACAAAGGTCCTACGTGGGGAGCAAGTGCACAGTGACTCCTGTTGTTGATTTAACAATTGACACTCTTATTTATGACGTCAGTAATCACTCGAGGCTCTTGTCATGAGCTGCCAAGGCTATAGAAGCCTCTTGAGTTCACAAACTTTGACCTTGTTTAGATAAGACCATAATCAAAGTGGAAGTTTTCTCCTCCCTTCAGAGAAAGGTACCTCCTTCTTTGATGGCCTCTTCTGAAAAAAGTATTATTTTTTTTGTTTGTTCCTCTTTCTGACAGGCAGAGTAGACAGTGAGAGAGAGAGACAGAGAGAAAGGTCTTCC